TATTGTTCCTTGGCCAGGAAAATAATCTTTCCTTGAACTGATAAATGATTATATTGTCTGCTCGGTGGACGGACAGATCAAATAATTGTAATATTGATTCTGCTACAGTTAATTCTAAGATCTAATCTAAATATTTATCATTAATTAATAACCAGTTATAATTAATTATAAATATTTCCCTTTTGAGCTAATTTGCTACAGTTTTTTTTAAATGAAAATGAGGCACAAACAAAAGTCGTGCTGTGCTGTTTCCAAAACAGTCACAGTTCAAACAATCACCTCATTTCTTAATAGTCCACGGCACTCAGCCTCCCCAAGCACGCACAAGCTCTCAGTCCAGTCTCTCTCTCACGTTTTCCGTTCTACGGTGGCTTTTTATCTGGTCTCTCCATGCCAATTACTGCAATCAGACACAGGTGTTCATCATTTTGCAGTACTTACTCACCTCTCGTCTCCCGACTCTCTCTCCCACTGCAGACCTCGCTGAACCACACCCCCCTCGTGAGTTCAGTCAACGGGCTGGTGAGGTCAGAATAATTAGGCACAAACCTTCTATAATATACCGCCAGTCCCAAGATCTGCCTCACCTCTTTTTTGGTCTTGGGTCTCGGGCAGGTTGCAACTGCTGCCGTCTTACTACTTTGGGGACGCACCTGTCCGTGACCCAAGTGGAAGCCCAGATACCTGACCTCCACACACCCAACACACCCGCAAACTTCTTCAGGTTGGCCATAAGTCCGGATCCTCTCAGCGCTCGCAGGACAGCTTGCAGATGCGCCATATGACTCTGCCAATCATGACTATAAATGATAATGTCATCCAGATAGGCAGCGGCAAAGGCAGCATGCGGCCGGAGGATTCTGTCCATGAGACACTGAAAAGTGGCCAGTACCCTGAACAACCCGAACGGAAGCATTAACAAATTGGTTAAATTGTTATGGAAAAAAAATTTGGTAAAATTGGATAAAGGCGATAAAAGGACCTGCAAATATCCTTTAGTTAAATCCAGTGTCAAATAAAATCGAGCAGCATTGGATATGCGTCAAATTTCAACACAGCATTCACCTTACAGTATTTGACACAGAATCGTACAAAGCCATCTGTTTTAGGCACTAAAATTTAGCAACATCAGTGAGCTGTGAGGGCGAGAGGTGATCTGCCCCTGGGGCCAGAGTGAGAGATTGGACTTTGGTGTTAACTTCCCGAGATCTTCCTCTCCACTCACTGCCATTGCCAGCATCACTGGCTCGGCCCTGCTCCATTGTTTAAGTAGGTTGAAATGGTAAATCTGACGTGTCCCGCTCCTGTCTGTTCGAATTACCTCATAATTGAGATCTCTCACTCGCCGTGTGTCCTCAAAGGGTCCTTGCCACTTAGCGAGTAATTTAGAAGTTGGGAGTAATACAAGCACTTTATCTCCTGGTGCAAACTTATGTAATCTGGTTCCCCTGTTGTATAGATGGCTCTGTTTGTCCTGGGCCTGTAACAAATTTTCCATATAGAGCCACCCCAAAGTGTGGAGTTTTTTTCTCAGGTCCATCACATAGTGAATTTCATTTCTGCTATCCGAAGGTCC